AGCAGTAAAAAACATAAAGCAATACCAACATTCATCTTTAATTTGAAACTTCCGTTTCCTCTAGACACATACAGTTCTTGTAAGATTTCTGCTGCCCATTTTCTTTCTTGCTCTAAATTTTCTGTTTGAACGACAAGAACTGGTTGTTGGAAGTGAAGAAAGGAATACCTGACAGGATAGCCTTTATGCCCTTTTTGCCTGGTTAACCACTGGGCAGCAACCAAACTAAGTCCTTAGCTGCATTCCTTGATTTTCCTTCAGAGGTTTTTGTTTTTCCTCCCCATCCTCTGCTTCTCTTCAACCCATTCCATTTCTGCTTTTAATGAGACAAAAACCGGAGCCCTGATTTTAAAAGCAAGGTTTGATTTTCCAACTGCCGAAATACATTCCGGACTTTTTTCCTGTGAAATAAACGGCACAGGTGGAGAAGACAAAACCACCAGGCCTCTCTCTGCCTTTCAGGACCAGCAAAAGTGTCACTACAAAAAAGATTTTGGAGCGTGGCTCACATCAGAGCATTGCCCATCCTTATTTTGCTTTACTTAAGGCTATTCCAAGAGCAGGCAAATTTTCAGCAGACGGAAGCCAAACTATTAAGATCTATGGAAAAAGGCAGAAAATTAAAGTCCCATTTCTTGGTCCTCTGTAACCGGCATCTGATGGTTTGTTTGGCTATGAATTGCGCCTATCCATCTTAAAGCACCAAGAAACCTTATGCCCTTGTTCATTCAAGGGCAACATAGTCATGTTACAAAGGTAGCAAGAATTCAAAATAAGTATGCTTTAAAAAAGAAACAAAAGAAAACAGGGTAAACATACAGACATTGTTCAAATGGCAACTTCTGACGAAAAGTCTGGAAACAGTTGCAAGCTTAAAGCACACAGGTAGAAAAAAAAATGCCTATGTTGGCTTCTTGATGTTCTCTGAGTTTGCTTCTCTTCCTGAGTTTGCTTCTCTTCCTATTATCAGGCTGGGTCAGCATGCTGGGTGGGGAATTTAAGTAGAAGTTCACACATCTTAAAAGTTGTCATGGTTCAGAAACAACGGGCAAGGTAACATCATCAGATGATGTTATCTTGCCTCCTATCAAAGAATTAACGGAAGAGGAGCAAATTCAAAGAACACCAAAAATTAAACAGGTCAACATTGAATTTACATACATCTCCACTCTGGCAAAATGCACATATATATTGGTATTTTCCTCTTCATGGACATACATACAGATTTACAGTCAAACATTTATAGCAATGGCAAGAATCTAGACCTCTGTTTGCTGATAACTGGGCAAGGTATTCACATTATGATTGGTAACCCTCAAGTACCTGAATGGTGATACATCGTGATTTAATAGCAAAGCTTTCGGGAACATTTCAAAACCTGAGATATAAGAAGAAATTAAGCACTCTAATTGGCAAGATAACAATTGTATACTATACGTCTTTTCAAGAAAATAAAATCAATGGAACTTGTGTATCAATTAGGGGAAAACGTCAGTTTTCCAAACACAAATTTGCTTTATACTGATCTGCTTCATTAACTATATCTAGCTATAGTTTGTTTAACTATATTCTATTAAATAAACTAGAACTGTCTAGGTTCACATAACATGCCCAACCATTCACCATGGCTTACGCACCATAAGAATTCAGTTCACCGCAGCAAACAAGCTACAGAAAAAATCTATGGCACAGATTGGGAAAGGCTGCTAGTTGACTAACAATGGCTCTCCAATATCTTAGGCAAATGTCCTTCCAAATATTACTATTCCTTGGAAATATCCCCAAAAAATTATGGCATAAATATGGCCTAAATAATAGCTATATATATCTCTTACTCTAAATAACTGGAAATCCTGCAATTACCATTTTAATGGAACATTCAGAACCCCTCAAATTAAGATACCAAACACTGAAGATAACTGTGCATACAAAGTATATAAACAAAGAAGAAATAAGAATCCACTGGAGCATGGAAGAGAGTAAAATTTATATTTTGTCTAGCATCCCTAAAATCCTTACTACCACACCACACATAAAATATCCAGAAATCCAACTGTGAAAGAGAAGGGCCACACTCTGGCTATTATTTTATGAAATCTATCACACACACAGCACACCTCTATTTTCCTAAATAGATAACTTAAAGAATGGCATCAAGAAAACAAAAACAAAGATCCAGAATGGGAGGCAATGAATAGCCAATCTAGCATTCCTCCCAATGTCTCTGTTATGCGATCACATATTTTGGATCCAAACTTCTTTCCCACCCACACAGACTTGACATTGTCTCAGCAGCGCTGCTAGCACTGTAATTTACTAATATAAAGCAAGTTGAACTATGCAAACAAAGTCTGAACCCACAAATTTAAGTAAAATAAATGCCTCTTTTCTTTATAGCCTACTTTAATTATCTCTGCCACAGCATGCAAGTGGGTTGATTTTTTTTATTTTTTATTTTTTTTTGGTTTATTTGGTCTGCTATTTTTTTTTTTTTTAACTTCCTCACTTTACACTTTGGTCACCAGTATCTCAAAAAAGAGATACTGAGTCATTCGTTTTTTTTCCCTCTGACTACATACAAAAGACCTTGAGATTGTTCAGGAAGCAATCAGATATTATACTGAGAGATAGGTATTTTCGAACAAATATTCTTTAGGGCAGTCAATAGCTTTTGCTCATCCCACACTCTTCTTTCTCCCTCTCCCCTTCTTTTGTAAATCCAGAAGCATAATTTCTATTCTACTAAAGAGGCAATAATCAAATGTTTCCTAAAAAAATCTTACCGATTTCGTCTCAAATGGAAGGAAAAGTGCTTCTTAAATCTAAACTTTTCTTCCCCAAACATCCCTAAAAGGGTTTTTTTTTTAACACTGATGATGCTACCCTGCAAACTGCAGGCACAAGAGGAAAAGAAATTCAGTTTTGCACTGCTCCCTTATTCTTAATTAGATTTATTCTCTCCTACTACTAATCACATGTAAATTCTGTTTTAATCCTATCTTAAATTGCTACTGTCAGAGCCAGTGGTGAGTACAGACATCCAAGTGCAGTCCCAAACATGTCTCCTCTAAAACAAGCTCTGAGTCCAATGGGACTGATTCTCAAGAATGTATGCACAAAAACTACAGGCTAAATCAATATTTATAAACACACTGCCAAGATTATCAAAACATTAAGTGGATAAAAGGGGATAACTAGTGTATACAAGCATTGGAGGAGGAAGGATTTTTCAAAAAATCTTAATTACTTGGATTCAGCTTACATCTGAATATTCAAAACCTCTCCAAATGTGCTAGAGACTCACGTTTGCCATAAACACGGATGCTAGATTCACAGGCACTTTCATGCACATGCATACCCCCAGAGACACAATCAATGACCCTAGGAAAGCTAGTCTTTAAAAAATGCAAGCAGGTGCTAATTTTACTACACAGGATATTAATGGGCTTTTTAAAAAAAAAATCAAATGCTTTTTGGATACAGCTCTGCCTTCCCATAGAGGTTCAGGGTAGTTCCAATCTCCCGTCCTTGTTTATTGTGAAGGCTTATACATATGCATTATGAATAACACCTACACGCCTACACACACAGTTGGCACTCATTCACTGAATAGAGCTCGAATTTCTCATCTGTGCAAGAAGGCTCACTTTGGGGTGGCAGGCAGCACATCAACCACACCATAATCAGCAAGAACTCATGAATGGGCAACCTCTTAGATGGTGCTGTGTCTATAGGTGTGAATTTTCCAGGCATTATGCAAAGGCTCCAGAAGCCTGCTCCTTTCTTGTGGCACAAATCTGTGCACGATGTGTGTGTACGTTTGTGTATCTAACTGGGACCAGACCTCAGCTAAAGGGGAGGACCTCAGCAAACTCCTTGGTGCAGTAACCACCAACGCAGCCCCCACCCAGTTGCCAAGGAAGGCACAGAGAAGGCCACCAGGCTGCTGTTGGCTGGAGAGTATGGCTCCTGCTGGTTGTTAAGGAAGCTGACCAGCAGAAAGCTAAAAGCAGCTTCCTCCCGAAGGATAATGGGGGACGAGTTTCCTCGCCGGGAGAACAGTTAGTGGGACATCCTTCATACATCCCACATCTGGACGCCGCCTATTCTGGTGGGAGCCCCGATTTCCAACTTCAGCGGGGAAGAGGGAGAGAAAGAGGGGGCTTCCAGTAAGGAGAGGGGTCATCCAGGGCTTTCCGTGCTCTTTCCCCCCCCCCCTCGATGAAGTGCCTAAACTCCAGGGACTTAATGGGGTGAACTAGGGACGGGCGAGGCAAGCTGGAGGCAAGAAATGGAGAACTGGCCCCAAATTGGAAGCGGTGGGGGGCGGAAGGGGGAGAAATGGGCAAACGGAGGTCTTCAAGATTGCAGTGAATTGCTGGCGCTGGTGTCTCGGGATGCCTTCGATCTGCACGGTTTTTCGCCGGGTGTCTTTGCCTGCATCGTCTCCTTTTCTTCCCCCTTCCCCCCCCCCCGAAGAAAATCTCGGTAGCTAAACTTTTCACCTCTCCGAGACGGACATCGCTGGTGGAAATGACACGACAATCTTCGGCGGATCCTTTCTGCCGACGAGAACGGGCGACCGGGGGAGTTGAGTCACTTTCGCATTGCGAAGCGACTCCAGACCTCACCCCCGCCCCCTCCGCTCGCTCTGGTCAGTCTACGAAGACCGCGTCTTCCCAGAGCCAGCTTCCCTCTTTAAAAGCCTCCGGCTAAGAGCGGGGCGCCATCCGGCTTGCAGAACCTCCTCCTTTCCCTTTCACCCCCCCCCCGCCCCACAACTTCACAGCAGAGCAAGCCGCAGGCAGGCGCAGCGATCCCCGAAAAATAATTTACAAGCGCACGGCAAATGCAGAAAAGGGCGAACGGTGGAGGCAACCGGAGTGCCACGCTGCATCCCCACAGCCACGCACGCACCTCGCTACCTCTTGTCCTAGCTGAGGCTCTGCTGCAGTTCCCCCCCCCACACACACACACACCGTCGGCGAGCTCCTGCCTACCTTTCCTCTCTTCCGAGGCTCGGCGTACCAGGGAGGAGTTCTCGCCTAACCAACACGCCTTCAGCCCGAGCGACCCACAGCAGACAAACGCTACAGCGTTTGCAGCTCTTTAAGAACAAGCGAATCTTCTCTATCCCCGCAACGACTGCGCTGCTCTCCCTCCGTGCCGCGCTTAGCTGTGACAACTCCACGCGGTTCCAGTCCAGGTTTTTCCATTTCGCGTCCTCCCCTCTCGCCGCCGCGAACTACTATGCTACACACGCCCTTTTTGTCCATTCCAAAGGCTCCCGGTTTCCTCTTTGGGCACTTTTTAATTGCAAAGGCTCCACACGTCTCATTGTCAACTCTTCCCGCACCGAGCCAGCCAGCCAGTCTGCCTGCCTGCCTGCCTGCCTGCCTGCCACGTTTTTCAGGCAAAGGACTGAGCCAGTTTTCTCCCGAAGCCCATTTCCCCTCGCGAATCCTTTTCTATCAGGCAAAACGCCCCTTCTCTCCCGCTACCCATCCCATTCCACGCCGCTCTGTGTGTGTGTGTGTGTGTGTGTGTGTGTGTGTGTGTGTGTGTGTGTGTCGCGCTCTCCCTAATTTACGATCTTCCCCACCACATCACACACACATCACAAACACACACCCCAAATAACAGCAGCGTAGCGGCAACGATCCCACCCAGCCAAAGAATTTAGCAAACTCCGCTTGGCTCCCGCAGGCGAGCCATAAATAAATAAATAAACCACAGAATCGGTCTCGCCGCGTGCTGGGGCTGCAGAGCTCTCCCGGCACAGCCGCTCAGGCTTCCCCCGAGCGAAGAAAGACTCGCGATCCCCGGGCTACGCGTGCCTCCCTCTCTCACAGTAGCCGGGGCTAAATGAGTCGCCCCTTGTCCGAGGCGCAACTATTAAGGAGCCAAGCTGGGGAAATACACTGCGATGGGCTCCCCCCCTCCTTTTGCAATCACCTTCCCTTTCTCCCCCCCCCCTACACAAAATTGTATGCACGCATACACTCACCCTTACAAATATTAAAAAAAAACAAAAACCACCGGATCCTAAAAAAGAGCAAAAGAGGAAAGTTCGATGGTGTGACTTACAGTTTGCATCGGCGCTTGGTTCGAACGAGCCAGCCATTATTACATTCCACGCCAAGCAGCCCCCAGCTGCCACTCGGGGCTTGGAGCCTTGGCCGTGCTGCCGCCGCCGCCACCGCCGCTGCCCAGCATGAAGGGAACGGTATGGAAAGGAATGCGGCGCGGGGTTCCAATGGAACTCCAGCCTCGCTCTGACTTCCCGGGGAGACAGACTGAGACACACATTCAAAGGGCTGCTGCTACTCAGTTCTTCTCGCTTTCGCCTCTAGAGGGCGTCCAGATCTGTGCGTATCCGCGCACGAGAGGAGGAGAGAAGAGAATGAAGAACAGGAGAAGGGAGGCCCAGATGCCACAAGAGGCTGGCGCCTTCTTAAAAGGGCAACACCACCACCCTATTCCCTTAAAGCGGTAATGCGCGCCTAGGTAAAAGAAGAACCGGAGAAGCGACGGACGGGCAAGGGAGGGAGGGAGAGAAGGAGAGGTGGAGAATTCCGAACAAGCCCAGGTCGCGTTTAGGACTTTCTAGTCGCTCCTTAGTAAGAAGAAGTGGGACTACGCTCCCACTTTAAAAAGGAGGCGAGCCAGAATCCCATGTCGATAAATCCCATTGGAATTTATGCGTAGAACTTTTAGGTAAGGGTGGTCAGAAAGCAACCAAAGAAAAGGCGATTGCAATTGTTGTTCTTGTCGTTGTTGTTTTTAAACAAGTGCGGCATAAAGCTTAGAATTGAATTGCGAAAGCTTTTTCGCTCAATACGGAACTGATTTTAAAAATGGCTCTTTTCTGTGTTTTATTCCTCGTTAATAAGATGCTCAGAGTGATGTATTCCCTTGAAAAGACGCTTAGAGCAGGAATTACATGTATTTAATTTTATTTATTTATTTCCAAGATTTATTAGTGGGCTGGTATCTAATAGCTCTCAGTGTGGCATATAATAAAAACAGAAATAAAATCCGGAATCCATATAAATCAAATGAAAAACAGGCCAAAAAAACAATCTGTTAAAAGCAGCAATTAGTTATCATAGCATACAGGATAATTCTGTGCATGTTTACTAAGAAGCAAATTATATAACGTCCAATGGCAATTATTCTGTGTGCACAGAATTGTAGTTGGTTTCATTTTGCAGAGCAATTGTGTTGCAGAGCAGTTGATTTTGTTAAAAACCAAACCTTAAACTTTCTATATGGGTGCAACCCTTATATCAAGTCCCTCCAACATAAGGCAGGGAAACCTGCATTCCAGCCATCCCCCAGTAGCCATTCTTTATAATATGGTACACCTGGGGCTTCTCCCCTTACCCTTCCCCTCCCCCCAATAAATCATTAAGCCATCGCCCATTGATTTTTTACAAAGCCAAACTAGGCTGAGATCCAAAGCTCGTTTCCTGGGAAGCAAATTCTGTTGAAATGGGATTTTCTTCTCTTTAGAACCAGGACATAAAAGAGCAAGGGTCAAAGAGAAGCAATTAATCTTGCAAGTATGGTATTTCAAAAATGCAAATGTTTTTTCAATGCTCATATTTTCCATCAATACAGAATAATCTTTCTATACAAGCTTACAGCACCAACAACAGGTAAGAGTCGGAAGCTTTTCACTGGCACCAAACTCATAAAATATGTTAATGATAAGTATTGTATTGCACTTTGCAACTAGTGTTACATCAGGGTGTAATGCTGTCCTAAGTAACACAACATATATGCAGCAAAAATTATATTTATGAAAATATCCACATTTTCCAACCTGGTGCCTTCTAGATATGCTGGACAGATTCTTTAGTTGATGTGAATTATGGTAGTTAACCTATCATATGTAAAAAAAAAAAAAGACCAGTTTGGCCAATTATTCATGCATTGTGAAGGTCAGGAACCTAAAATATGTATTCACTTAGAAATATGGAAAGCAGTGAACATTGTATTCTGCCTCTGGATTACTGTACACAGTAAATGGTAACTTCAGACGCCATCTCCTTCTGGGCTGAACCTCCAAGTTTCTTTTCCACATGCCAGTGGGCTGCTTGTAAAGACTATGTGGCCAAGCTGAACTGATCTGTCTGAATTGGAACAGAGGAAAAGGTCTCTTGCTTTACAGATGCTGTTTCTGGCAAATAATAGGTGCAGGTTAAACTACAGGAGGTTTATCTTGATTGTCCCATTTCTCTTCTTATACCACCACTCCCTGAATTTTAATATTCTAAAAAACGACAAAGAATTCTACCTACTATCTCAAAAGCATTCTAAATTTATATCCCCAACCCCTGCACAGTTCAGAGGAAAAGATTCCTTCCAAGAATTGGTATTCAACAGCTATGATTTCATAAAATGTCTAATGGATGTTGGGAACTTACTGTACCTGAGAGTCACTCAAATGATATTAGATGATGAGTGATCAGGTTGTTTAACTCTCCACTTGATACAATGCCAAAAAAAACCTTATCACGTTTCATTCCAGCTTCTTCATTGAAAATCAGTCAAGTATGAATCATCCGTTCATACAGCAGATTTGTTCCAGAGTTTGCCCCAATTAGATGGGTATTATTGGGGGGGATGAAGGGGGTGGCCACAGCTATTGTTCCATAATTGCCAGTCATCTGGGCCAAGCTTTTAGGAAAGATCTACTCCAGTTGCTCTGCAGTACCCAAGTAGCCAATGTCCTCCATGGTAGGGAGATTAATATTAACTAACCATGTTGCTGTAATAAATGTCTGCCCATCTAAACCAAAATGCTGGTTCTTACTTGTGCTGTCATCTCCATTATCTATTTTTTTCATTTGAGTTTTCACTGTTTTGTTTTTGCTCTCCTTGTGGCAGTTAAAGTCATATCTGATACTTTGGTTCTTAACTGTGTCTCTGAGATGATTAGCCTTTCTGCGTGTGTTCACATTCTCTATTGTAATAGCTTTCTATGCAGATTTTATGATTCTAGGATACTACTTATCTTCAAGATCACCAGTTGCCTTCACAAAGTCCAACATCCAGCCTGATTAAACCCATTTTGCCTCCATAAGAATAGCAGCCTGAGGTCAGAGATGCTGGCTTCAAATCTCCATTTAACCATGGGTGTCCCTCGGATATCTGTTTCTCAACCTAACATCTTGAGCTTCTTGGATTTTTTTCTTTTTAAAAATGTAGGTATGAGTGTGAAATGGAAGCTAATTTACAAACATGTTCTAGGGCTCTTTCCAAATTTGCACAAAGGTGTTGAGTGATAAACTCTGTCTCAACAGATCCAGCCAAAGTTTGCACTGTCAGCTTGAGCAGCTGCCATTTTATACCCTCAACCTGACTGTTTCTATACTAGGCATAAGGAGAAGGGGAAAACAATATGGCTTTCAGCTACTCGCTCTTGTCCATTTGGCCAATGGATGTGGACCTTTTATGTTTCAGAGCAATCCATTCACAATGTTTCAGCAGCACTATGGTCACTTAACAAGGAGATAACATTGTAAGTAGAAAATCATAAATGCCATAAAAAAGATTGATTACAATTTCACTTTATTATTTCTCCTTTAAAAGTGCATTCTGTGCTGGCCACTTTTATCTTCTCTGTTCTCCCCCCCCCTCTTTATTTCCCTCTTATCAGTTCAGAAGGGGTGTTCCTATTGGTGGGCAATCATTCTTGGATTGGACTTTTCTTCTGGGCCTTCATAGTTCTATTTCCTCTGCTGAGGGAAATTAATTTGTCTCTATCTCTGTTTATTAGTCTGCACCCTGACATTATAAGGCTGATCATTTCTAGGAAGGATGGGAATCCCATATAATCAGCAGCAGCAGCAAAGGCTTTTGGAATACTGTTGTGGCAACACAAGCTCTTTTCCAAGAGTAAAATAAATACTCAAGAAAAAGTTAAGAATGTCAAAGGTAATTTATTGCATGTCGTGGGATTGCATGTAATAGGGTTCTGTCACTTCAAAAAGAAAAAAAGCAAGGAATTTGGAGTGGGGAAATAGCAGTGAAGGAATGGAGGGGCTGGAGTGGGGAAAGCTTTAATCTTTATTTGTTGGCTCCTCTTCCAATCATAATCACCTCTCAAACAGCTTTTATCCTGTGGATGCCGAGAGCACGTTAGCCCCTAACAACCACTAAAATCAGGGTTATTTAAAGCTTCAAACCACAGCACAACAGTTGAGCTGACATAATATGCTAATATCCTAAGCCATAATGAGCATATGGTTTATTCAGTAGCCACTGGGTAAGCAAGCTATTCCTGGAGAGAATCTTATCTATTTGGTCACTAAGAGTCAAGCCTAACCTGATAGCACATAATGAATCAATCTATGGCTTAGTATGAGCCCAAACACAAAGAAAGCTTGGTTGAATGCTGTAGGATTTCTGAATAAATATGGGATTGCAACAAAATAATTTGCAACAGTATAACTGAGCAATGTCCTATAAACATCCTGGTTGCTGGACAGGATGTTGCTGCTCTTGATGTATTATAAGAATCTAGGAAAATAGTTGGCAGCTATTAAAAATGTATGCAAGAGGCTTCAGGATCAGTTCTGATATTTCCCTTGATTGGTTGGTTGATTGAGGACCAAATTGCTAACAGCACACCCTACGTTGGCCCATTTTGCCATGAGAACTTGGGAAATGCTTTCTTTTCTCCATCCATACACCAGATGCTCAAATTTCTTGAGGTTAAGAGGAGCCCCCAATAAAAACAGTTACAGTATTGTCAAATGCCACCTTTAATTAAAGATATTATGAAATCTATAGCTCTGGGTTATACTAACCATTCCTGCTGCAAATGTGATTGTAAAATAGCAAAGGAGGAGCACAGATAGATCAGGCTAAAAAGAAAAGCAAATTATGCATTCAAGGGAAGCAAACCAGAAGAATCACCAAGAACAGCAAAAGCTGGTTTTTCATT